AGAAAGACAGAAAGAAAGAACGAACGGAATAATGAATGAAGGAAGGAAGGAAGGAAAGAAGGAAAGGAATGATTGAATGAATGACTGGCGGCCTGACTGAGTGAGTGATGACTGACTGACTGACTGAATGAATGGTTAAGCGTGCTTGCATGTATACCAATGAAATTAAATTTGTATGAAGTTTGTACTTATGTGCGTTTTCCATCTAGTACGAGCTTGTAGTGTAGCGCGTTACAGCAGACTGCAACATAGCACGATGTAAGCTGTTTGGCTGTGTTGAGTGTCGTGTTAACCGTCCCGATTCTCGACAAGCTTGGCGAGGCTTCGTTTCTGTCCTCCCCTGGGACAGGAGCTTTGCAGACGGCGCTGGGGTGCCAGTGGACAAGGCCGAAGCTTGCCGCTAGCTTCGGCTTGCGGCAGACGCTGGCAACCGGGACGCTGCTGCTGTTTGGCTAAGCTTTTTTTGGTAGGGAGTTGAAGGTCGTAGTCAGAGAGATGGGTTTGGTGAAGCGGAGGTAAGTTGTGCAAACGACATGTGCGCTTTGATTGTAGCGAGCCCGTGCAAATTTGGGCCACATCGTAAGAAGCTCCTGCCCAGTCTTCCTGTGCCCGGGGGCCTCAAAACAGAAGAGCTAGAAAGCACACACTGCGCGCATTGCAAGGATGCAATGTACGGCCTGGCACTCGCCTATCGGCATGGGGGATGGCGCGGAGGTGGACCTTTCCATGGCCACGGAGCTGTACCGCCAGGGTGGGAACCTGGGGCATCCGCAGGCTCAAGTGGTCTGTTGTGAGCATCCTAAATGCAGTCACCCGGCAAGAGCAATGAATAAATATCTCACAGTAAATAATTACAGTAGTAGATATGCACACCTGGACTATTATGGCACTATCACCATCTACATATCTGTTTGTCCGTCCGTCTATCTGTCTTTCTGGTCTGGTCTGGTCCGGTCCGGAAACTTATCTGTATCTATCTATGTGTGTACCTGTTTATCTGTCTGAATGGCTGGCTTGCTGGCAGTCGATCTCTCTGCCTCTCTCAGTATCTATCAATTGATGGATCCAGCGATCTACCGATCTATGTATCACTCGATCTATTGATATGTAGATCTGTCGATCTATCGATCGATCTGTCTGTCTATGTCTATCTATCTATCCATCTGTCTATCGGTCTATCGCTCTATCGATCTATCGATCTATGGATCTATCGATCTATCGATCTATCGATCTATCTACCTACCTATCTCTCCATCCTCTTGTGTGTTACTATCGATGAGTATACCACATGTACGCCAATACAAATCGATGTGACCGCGACTCAGCTCACCCGGCAGGCCCTCTACAATCTCGGATGCTGCTACATGAACAGCACCGGAGTCCCACGCGACCCTCAGGCAGCGGTAGACTGCTACCGGCGTGCCGCAGAGCAGGGCGACATGGATGCTCACGCGACTTGGATCCACTTTTGGGGGCTTTAGGATGTCAGGGCCTTTTTCTCTCAAGTTGTGGCTGCCAGGCACAAGAGGCACATAATCCTCGGTTCCTTTTCGCACCCAGGTGAGCTTGGCCAAGTGCTTCCTCACCGGGGAGGGGGTGGCCAGGGGTCAGGTCGAGGCTCAGCGCCTGCTGATGTTGGCAGCAGACCACGGCCACCCCGCTGGCCTCTCCTTTGCACAGTTTCACAAAGCGGTTCACCCCGCCCCGGCCATGTAGCGGCCTTGAAGTCTTGTGATGGCAGAAAAGGGGCTCCCGGGAAAAGGCCGAGTCGGCGGGAGAGGAAAAGAACGCAGGTGAACCAATTCCTTGAAGTTTCCCCGAAATCCGGTCCTCCCCTTTGTCTCAGGATTTCTGTGTCTACATGATTTTCTCACTCATTTTTCTCGCTGCAGGGTTTTTGACAAGGGTGTTTTCTTTCCGCGGCATGCGCAGACGATGTGCTTGCGGCATGGTACGGGGGTCTGCAGGCGATAGGTGTTTGTGGCTTAGTTCCCTAATCCACAACTTTTAAGCTTTTTGGGCTTCTTATAAAAAGTAGTAATCTGTTATTGGGGGAGTTAAGGTGGAAGTTTACCCAAACGACTTGATCAACCCCAGACTGTAGTGCATGGCACAAGCATCCCTAAACCCTGTAGACCCTAAACCCCTAAACCCCTAAAGCCCTAAACCCCTAAACCCCTCAAATCCCTAAACCCCTAAAACCCTAAAGCCCCTAAACCCTAAAACAAAATGGTCGTGGCACCGAATTTTTCTCCCTCAAAACATCAGCCGAGGACGGGGCCGAGAGCTGTTGGCTGATGCTGTGCCTCTGGCCATTTTCGATCTGAAGAGCATCCGCTCTTGGCTGTAGCGGGGGGTTTAGGGTTTTAGGGTTTTAGGGTTTAGGGTTTAGGATTTTGCTAAAACCCTAAACCCTAAGCCCTAAACCCTGAACCTTAAACCCTAAACCCTAAGCCCTAAAACAACCCTAAACCCTAAACCCTAAAAAACCCTAAACCCTAAGCCCTAAGCCCTAAACCCCAGGGCTCGGGGCATTTAGGGTTTTACGGTTTAGGGCTCGGGGTGTTGGATCCCAGCACTTCCGGGGGTGGCTGGAGTTTTTTCCCCGGGATTCGGGTTTTTTTTCCAGGGTGAGGGTGGTAGACCGGGTCACAGAAAGTCATCTTGAGATGGAAAAGAGAATCTGTGTAGTTCTGTAAATTTGGGTCCCCAATATGGTCCCGCACCCTTATTAAAAAGGACCTTAAAAGGAACCCTAGTTTAGAGAGCCACCCATCTGGGAAGATGAATGCTAAGGTTACTGACACGTGGAGTTCAACTCCGAGGCTTCACACGCCCCAAAACCTTACACGAAGCCCCAGGCCTAATGTCGGGGCCTTAATAAGTAGAACAGGGCTCCTTTACAGGGAACCTGAAATAGGTTTTTTTTTGAAGGCTTCTATAAGGCATCTACTCTAAGAGGCTTCTATAATGTCAGGGGCCTTAATAATTAGAACAGGGTTTTGGGGCTTCCTTACTATGATCATTGATTATAGTAGAAAAATACCCCCAAACTCTATTCTAATCATTAAGGCTCCTATAGT